TTTTTTTTTTCGTTGATCTAACAACTCTTTGGCGAAAAACAAGTCACGTTTCGCCTTTCGAAAAACACTGAGTAATTTTGGATTTAGTATAATTTGTATTTGATCTAGAGAGTTTTGAGTTCCGTTTAAAGTTTTCGCAGCTCGAATTTAGGTCGTGGAATGCTTCAAAAGGACGTTTCGCTATTTGAATTTTGGCGCTTAGGTTTTGCATTGACTCATGTCCTTGTGTCGGTTTCTGTTCTCTTTTGTTTCGTCGTTTAAAGGGTTTTTCGTTTCTGGTTTCGAGACCTAACAGAAATTTTGTTGGACTTTTCTAATTTTTCTTTTTTAACAGTTGTTTTAATTTGATAGTTATTATTGTTTCTGTTGCATTGCTTGGTTTTATTATGTCCGCGCTTGATTTGATATATTTGTATTGTTCTTTATTTTATTTCGGCTTTGATGTCTTTTTTAAAAGTGAATTTTGAAGAAAACCTTTTTGTTGTCGTCCGAAATCAAGAAAAGAAACTGTGTGATTGGCCGAATTGGGTGAAAACCTGAAACGTAGGAAGAAATTTAAAAATGAATTAAAAATGCGATTTTCTTTAAAAAATATCCCTAGCCAATCAAATAGCTAGCTAAAAGCTTTGCTCTGTTATGTTAAAAGCTCATTTGGCATACAGATTCGAGTGCGTGCATGTGTGATCAGAGCATATATGTAAAATGGCAGAAAAATTGGCTAGGCCATGCATACTCAGTCATACAATGCACGCGAATGCGATAGCAATATGAAAAGATGCAGAATAAAAAGACACAAACAAAGGTAGCTACGTGAAAGCTCAATATTGAGCCACCCCCTACGCTGGTGTGTGAGTAAGAGAGAGAGAGAGTATGCGCGCAACAGCTGTTACAACGATCAGAGACCGGCCGGCCGGTAAGCAACACGTTGCAACACATGTTGCTGGCTTACCAACCAGCGAGCGAGTGAGAGAGTGAGAAGCGACCTGCAAAGCTTTTGCCATTGCTTTTATCATTAGCCAGCAGCAGCAGCAGACGCCATTGAGTGGGCGCGCGCTGAGCGTTTGCCGCACTACCATTAAAAGAGATTTACGCGTGAAATACTAAGAGAGAAAGCTTTGCATCTGCTGTCGACGCTGTCGTTGTCGTCGCCGTCGTCGTCATGTTGACTTTGATCTTGGCCTGTGTGTGTGCGTTGGTGTCTCTTTTTTGGCAATTGTTTTTGTTGTTGGCATTTTTTTGTTTGTGTGGTGAATAAGTAGGCAAAACGCAAAAATCACGAAAGCAACACAAAAAAAAAAAAAAAAAAAAAAAAGTTATTTCACGCAAAAAAATATACATACATATATACGAAAAGACAAAATAGAACAGCCCAAAAATGGCAAAAATAATTATTATGCTATTTTGTTTGTTTGTTGTAAATAGGCTTTCGACTTATGTATTTATTTATTTATTATTAATTGCTTACTTCGCCGATTGCAATTGTAGTTGATTCTGTTGTTTTTGTTGCTGCCGCTGTTTGTTGTAATTTATTTCCTTTTCTTTTTTGCTCAGATGATGTCAGAGCGTGTTTAAAAAAACTTTTTTGTGTTTGTTATTTCTGCTTTGACTTTGTATTTTGCATTTGTTTTTTTGACTTTGCAGCGAGCGTCTTCTGAATTATACATGCGGTTTTTTTTGCTTTTGTCGTTTTGTTAAAATTATGTAAAAATTAATATAACAATATATATAAATTTTGCATGTAATTTTTTGCCACTGAATCAATACAAAAAATAATAATAATAAATAAATAAAAAAAAAAAATAGCAGTTAAAACTGGAAAAGGCAAAACACAGTTTAAATTAGTTGGTTTTTCTCTTTTTCTATTTTTTTTTTTATTTTTTTTTTTTTTAGATTTGTAAAGGAAAAGGTACACTACACGCACACACAAAGCTGCGGGCGGCAAATACGCGCACGCACTCACACCTATGCAAGCACATACACACACGCACACATAAACAAACAACAAAAAATATGCCACGAAAAGCAGCAGCAGCAGCAGCAGCAACGGTAACGGCAGCAACGACATCAAAAAAGCAAAAGCTGCTGCTGCCCCGCCCTCTCTGCTTGCCCACTATGCTGCGCCCAGCGACGACTATCCCCGCTGTCCCCCGCCAACACGACACTACTTTACTTTTGCTTCTTCTTCTTCTTCTGTTGTTGCTAATTATAAAACGTAACAGAAATAAGTACAAGTTTAACGGTAATCATCTTTCCTTTACTTTCTTGTTCTTCTTCTTCTTCTTCTGTTGTTGCTAATTATAAAACGTAACAGAAATAAGTACAAGTTTAACGGTAATCATCTTTCCTTTACTTTCTTGTCCAAGTTGTTGGCAAATTTGTAAAATAACATTGCAGCGCTCAAGCATTGGTATGTGCGTACATACGTATGTGTGTGTGCATGTGTGTGTTATTGGCTTTGAATGATTTTTGCTTTTCCACCTTTTTAATGTTCGGTTGTGTGGGACCTCGTTTGATTTGAACGTTTTGTGCGCGCTCTTTATTTTATTTCATTTCATTTTTTCTTTTATGTTCTTCTTTTTTTGCTTTTGCTTACGTTTAGGAACGAACGAACGAGTGTAGAAGCAGCAACAGCAGATCAAGATCACTTTGCGGTTTCTCGAAAATTGAAAATAAAACTATTTACGAACAAACACAACAGAGGAAAAAAAAAACAATGAACGACGGCGGCGGCAACGACGGACACGTTAATGCATATTTCAACTTTTATTTGCGTTTCGTTTTTTCTTTTTGTTTTTTATGCTTTGCCTAAATGCCGAAAATATTTTTGCCAATAATGCTTTTTGACGACCTTCTTTCTGCTGCGACGTTCCAAATACAAATGACGGAAAGGAATTGTGCTTCCAAAATGACTAAAATGACCGAACGACGACGACGTGAATGCTTCATTCTGGTGGCGGTCGACGCTGCCGTCGCTAGCGACAGAGGCAGAGGCAGCAGCAGCAACAGCAGCGGCACCACCAGCAGAAGAAGAGCACAATAACCGTGAGAGGGAATGCGATAGAGTAAAAACGGGCTCAACAACGCCAGCTAGCGCTGCCTAACAGAGCATTGAGTGCGTAACATTTATCACTTAACAGTTCCACTCAAGTATATTTCGGCCGCCAACGCTCTGCCGCTGCCTTACCCGAAATTCCTATGCTCAATTCTCACACATACAAGCACAGCTGCACAACGGCTGTGCCAGCCGCAGTGGCAGCGACAGAAGCAGCAGCAGTAGCGACAGTGAAAACGACAGCATCGACCGCGACCGCATTCAAGCGAAAGACAACACAACAACGCTCACTAGTATATGCTCTCATATGTGTGCCTGAGTATGCGTGTGAGTGTGAGTGAGTTGTGTGCTTTTGCCGAAATTTAATGAGAGTGAGTCGAAAAGAGAACGAACACTGCTCGTCGAGTAGTAATGCCAAATTTAGCAAACCGAGTGACTTTAGTTTTGGGACTAAATACCGAAATTTCAAGCTCAAAATTTTAACTCAAAATTGACACAAAGCTAAAACAATTCAGAGAACCAACATACCCAAATTAATAATTTATATAATGATGTGATTGAATTGAGTTAAATAAAATAAATAGCATTTGGCAAGAAGATTTCATTTCTGGTTGAGCTTCAGAGACACTCAAACCATGGGACTCAGACTTCGAGTCGACTAAAGACTCGAAGCTGTGACGCTGAGTCGGGACTCGGTCTCCGACTCGGAGTCGAGATACGGAGCCGATTTGCGACTCAAAAACGGGGCGCGCAGCCTGGAACTGGAAACGGGAGCTTTGGCCACGTATTGGGAATATAGCATGTGTGACTGTATGTGTGTGTGTGTGAGCAGATGCTAGGATTATGTAGCGCTACGTCGCTGTCGACGTTGGCGTTGCCAAAAAATTTAATGCGGCGACGTCGTCGTCGACGACAACGGCATCGGCATCAGCAACAGCAACAGAAACGGCGACGGCGACGATGGCGGCGCTTAAGCTCTAAAAAGAAAAAGGAAGCAGCAAAGGAAGTGAACTGTGAGCACTGTGTTTCGAGCTGTTAGCACCGAAGGCAAATTGAACCTCATATATGTATTTATGTATGTGTACATACATATGTATGTCTATACAAGCAGACGTATGTATTTTGGAATGTGCGAATAAAAAATAGAATAAGCTAAAATACATACATACATATGTCTGTTGACAACGAATGTGCTCGACCCACACATACCCATTAAGGGCGTACATTGATAGATTCAATAGATTTTCATTTCCAGTCTAATGCTCTTAGTATATAGACCCGCTCAAACTGCACAACAACAGGGTATTCAACAGCTGAAACTCGTGTGCGAATGCCAGCAAATATAATAAAACAACAAAGCTATGCAAGAGGATAGCGCTGCAGCTAAGAAGAAGAAACAACTTTCAAGATTGTATCTAAACACACACACACACAGTCATATATATATAGACAAATATATGATACATACATATGCACGTTTGTACATACAATACACACACATATTAAGTAATTGATGAGTTATTGAATTCGTTTGCCACATAGCAAAGTAAAGGAACAGGAATAAGAATGAGTATATAGTACATATACAAATACAGATATACATATGTGATAAATGTTTGTACACATAAATAATATATGAGACTATTAAAAAATTAAAAATGTTTAATACATGACTTAATATCAGAATATAATTATCTATGTAAATGTATTTAAGACTTCTAAGAAATACCATTTATAAGCCTAACAGCTGTTCCAAGTAAATAAATATGAAAAATGAGTGTGTGTGTGTGTGTGTGTGTGTGTGTTCTTTTACTAAAAATTTCTATATGCATACCGATATGTATTTAAAACGTTTAATTTTAATTTAAATTTTTTCAAATGCTTTTATGAATATTAATACTTATTTTTTTGTAA